GCCGTAAGCACAGACTTCAAAGCATCATCTTGTTCAGCTTTAACATTTGAAATGAATCTTTCATGGAAGTAAGTCTCATGCGGGGAATCGTATTCATATGTAGGCGGCTGACCACAACAAATCTCCACATTTTTCTTGTGAAATGTTGACCAAGATTCCAAAGGAAACAAACTTTTTAATTGGTTCACAAAAAAATTTTGTGGTATAAATCCGGTGAGTAGAGCGACAACATAAACGGCCAGGAAGAGAAAGTGTGCCTGAGATAGTGACTTTTTATCTAGCAGCTGATAAAGCTCCTTCAGACCCTCCAGCATTGGTTTGCGTGAATTATCCATCCTATTTATTTCCATATCGACTGGTTGAGAACCTGAAATAATACATAGTTGGGAGAAAGTTTATTTTGCAGTTTGATCGAATTTTAAATTTTAATTTAATGTACATACATTACTATATATTAAATTTAGTATTACAGCATTTTAATAGTTCCGCCAAAAGATTTCGTAGCAATATTAAGATTTACGTGAGCTCGACCCATTTGAAAATACATCCAAAAATCGAGATTTTTATAAATAAAAGTAACTTTTAAAAACATGTTTTTTCTCAAAAATCACAAGGTAAAATCATTCTCTCAAGTCGTCGGCCATGATTTTTTTTNTGTTGTTTGAGATTGAAAATGAGAATATGTACATACACATGTATGATTTCAATCAATGATTTTACCTGGTAATGTTATTATCATGGTATGGTGGTAAAAGACTTAACGACGGAATCAAAATAATTAGATTTGTTCGTCAAAAAATTCAAAAGAATTGGTTTCGGTCCAGCTCACGTAAATATTAATATTTTTCCCAAATATTTTAGCGGCAGTTTTAAAATATATAATACATTTTATACTTCCGGTGGAAAAACCGCAACTTTTTTTTGCTGACACACCCTAATGTACATACCTATCCTTCCGGCTTCCCAAATAACGCTATAATCGGTTAATTAGTTTTTTTTTTAGCTACATAGGCAACCCTGATATTGTATAGCATGAAACACGTTTACTTTAATGGAGAGAGGAGATGGCACAGAATTTGGGACAACCCCGACACCGAGTTTGTATTTTTGCTTATTTCTTCTATTCTTGGTACTATACTGGAATGGAATAAAGCTTATTTAGCGACGTACGACGGGCACCTGACTGATCTTGATTAAAAGTATGAATACACTCTGAAAATTTCGAAGCATTCGCGTAGATATTCCAGAGAGCCGCTAAGTTTGTTTTGCAAATGTTGCTATTATAGCTCTGATCCAGTACTCCATGAACATACACGTTTTTACACGAACTTGCAGGAAGTTACAGAAAACATTTTCCCGTACTCCAAAATCCTGTAAATGAGAGCAATTTTTGGAGAGTTGCGTAAAGAATGAATGAACTTGCAAGAACTTTTTCTTCTAGTAAAATCATGAAAGGGGTCAAGCGATAAGCTGTTTGAAGCTTTTACAGGAAAAATGCTTGTTTGTTCCCGTACTTTTTGGTGGTTGGCCACATTTTACTCTCACTTCAGAGAGAAAGTTTGCTGTTTGACCTTTTTACAGGATTTCACACAAAAATATTGGATCAGAGCTAATTTTTGGAAGAAACTTTAGAGAATTTAATGAAGAGACTACCGGGGTTGCTTTGTGCATTCTTTCAATGGCAGTAGTAATTCATAAGTATTCTGCTTAGTGGCCCGTTCCCGTTACGATGCAGTGTTTCGACTATATGGAGCCAGGTGGAAAAAATAGTTGGCGTGCACCGATTTCGCTCAAACTTTACATGTGCTATAATTTTTCTTAGGGATAAAGAATTATGAAATATGGTAAAGATGGGATAATTGCCACGCCCTCCACTTTTATGGGCGTAAACGTTAAATTTCATCCGATTTCTTTCATTAGAAAAACCTAAATATAATACATGGGGAAGAAATATAAAATATGGGGAAGAAGATTGAATCACTATAACGCCTACAATTCGCAAAAATATTTGGGCCCAATCATTAAATGTTATACAATTCCCCTTAATTTTTGTTTTCTGTTGTCCACTCGGGAAAAAAACAAAAATTATACTTAACAATTACACCTCAAAATCGTTGTACAAATACGCAAACAGTGTCCGCTAAATTTCGTGCAAATATATTCGAATTTACAAAAGAAATTTCATAACTAATTGCCTAATTTGCGTAGTTTTCTACTACCATCCTCCCACCAAGGGATTTCATGGTCCCCTTTCTTTGTCCTTCGTAAATGCAACCTTTTGTAAGGCCCTGTCTCCACAGGAAAACACTGATGTCGTGAAAACTATGTCACAAAATATATTTCCAATGGAGACCGCCTATTTCTCATGTGCTGCAATATATGTCAGCGCTTATTGCTTGACATCTATTGCAGGCAATTCGATAGTTTGACAGCCATATTTTCATTTGAAAGAAAGCGTGCTGGTGGTAACATCGATGAAATTTTTATATTAAATTAAAATAAAAGTCTGTTCCTTATTGGATTATTTATTATTACGTTTTAGGAAATTATTCAGCAAGTTTTTTAAAGATTTAAATGTTTTTAAACACCGAAATTGAGAGAATGTTGTCTGGTGGCGTCATGCGGCAAATGCTTATTTCAAGACATCAAAGTGCCCACACACAAAAACTTGCAATCACATTGCTCGTCAAAATGACAGTTGGTAGGCCATCGATGTTTGCCTGTGGAGTTCTGCGGTAAGGAGTGTCAAACCGCAGCTGCCAATAATTATTGAATAATGCCGACATCCCTAGTCAGCTGATGTAAATAACATCCCTGCCCATGGAGCTAGGAATGTTCGATATCGTATCGATTATTCTGAATATCGATATTGCATGGCGAGACAATCCATTTTTTAGATCGATATTCCAAGGTCGATATATCGAAGACAACGATACTTTACCCGCAATATCGATATTTAAGTTGAAATTTATTATTCATCTTCAAAAAAGTGCATGGGAAAATACTAAGTAGGTTCAATCAGCAGCTTGTGTGATTTATTTAGCTCTTAAGTTTGACAAACCGCTTAAGTCGACCGGCATGCCGTTTTAATCCTCAGTAAATATCAAGACGGAAATAACACAATTAGGTGAGTTGATAGGCAGTTCTAATATTAGGCATGTTTTATTCAACCATCACAAGCAAATAGCTAAATCTTGGTCAAATAAAACGAAATCAGCTTATTTCCTATGATAGCCTAATTTTGACAGTTGTTTGACTGCAAATAGTGTCAAAGTAAGTTTTTGCCTCTTTCTGATTGGCTGAAGGAGAAAATTTCTGATGCTGAATGGCAATGCCTCTTGTTCAATATACAAGCCAAGATAGCTTTTCATAAGCCAATATAATTATGTTGGGTAAGTCCTCCATACAAAATAAGCTAATAGCTTAAATTTCTGGACAAATAAAACACGGCTATTCTATTCAATTGAGAGTAGGAGTTTCACCATCGATTTTTCCGATAAGGATATTGTTCAGCCCGATATATCCCAATTTCGATTTTACATGCAATGAATTAAATCGATAAATATCGAACATTACTACATGGATACATTAAATGAATCCCAATTCTTTTTGTAAAAATTATATGCGTAATACACTCACGAACAAAGATATATCTTTCTAGTGCATTAACACAAGTACTTACATATGCGAATGCAAACGTCTAATATAATAATTACGTATATGAATGTATAAACAAACAAATTTCACAAATGCATAGCTATGTAGTTAGAATTCTAAACTTTGCAGCTCACATCTTTCGATAGCCGCTCACACTCATGTGTAGCCTATGCTCTGTGCGTTTTTATCAATTGATTTTAAGTATGAAGATATTACCTTTTTCCGTGAACAGTTTTTCACGTATTAGCAAATTATTAATTGAAAATCTGCTTAAAAGAAACAAAATATCCAAGCGCACGAAGATCTCATCTCATTTGTGTGTTTTCTTTTTTCTTATTTGACAGCATGACTTTGACAATCATTTCAGTAGTGTTTAGAGTGCGGTTACCCACGAACGTGTACGTAGCATACCGTAGAAATACGTAAACTCATATCAAGTTTGCTCTGGATTCAAAGAGAGAGAAGCAACGTCTTCGTCACGGTCATGCGGTAGCAAGACCGATAGAATAGGGGTCTTCCCTTAAACTTGTAAAAGCCTCGTAAACCTCGTAAAGCTCGTAAGTTTACGAGCCTCGTATAAGAACTGTCAAAATTTGTATGGAGCTCTATTTACGATCCCATCGTAAATTTACGAGGCAAATTTGATGCGCAAACGACCTCGTAAACTTCAGTATTGCCGAGGGCCCGAAGTTTTGTATACTAAAATGTACGATAAGATAATGAAAATAAATGAAGAAAACAGTACGCGAATAAAACGAATGAATTTCATCCACTAACTGTATTGACTTAGGTTTTCTGCATTTTTAATTGTACTTTACCTAAGAGTGATAGAGACAAGATGGCGGAATGTTATGGAAAATACTACGAAA